CAGATCTTACTATCAAGGCTCACTCACACAGTGGAAAAGCACTCACAATGTACAACTCCAGATAACACACAAAAAGGAGGTTTATTGTTTAGTCCCAAAAACACAAGCAAAGGTACAAAGTCACTTGGCAGGAATCTATATCCAAAATCCGAAGCAAAGGTCAACAACCACTATTAATGCAGATAAAAATAGAAAACGTGTTAGCTTGTGGTGGTCATGATTACAACATTTACAACACAACGAATTTAGCTCATTTGTCACTTTCTGGTGTGACCAGGCCCTGAGGTGTTTTAGGAAGAGATTGTGTCCAGCATGTCTTGATAGTCACCTTTTACACACTGAGATTTACATTGTCCAGAACTTTAAATTTCAACATGGATAGTTGTTATGGATAGTCACCACTGACTAAGGAACAATTAAAAAGAAAGAAAGAAAGAACAATGAGTTCAGTTTTGAACAATGAGTGGAATTTATTTTTTTCTGAAAAAAGTACATGAAAGTGTATTGATGTCAAGATCTTCGTTTATGATTGATTTCTGGTGCTGCATTGAATGCATTGTCTTGTTTGACAATGCAAAATACTGGCATTGAGACAAACTGCATGTATCATCGGCACATCACTTTTGCAGATGAGCACATAAAATACAGCAACAACAATGCAGCAACAACGGCGTCCTGGTCATGATTAAGGGATTTCTGTGCCTCTCTTCTCGTCTCTGGCCATCAGTAACCAGAGTGCATCGGGGATTTGAGGCTGTGGCTGGATGAGAGGAGAGGAGGAGGAGTAGAGTAGAATGTTAAACATGTCCTCTAGACCCCAGAGGAGGAGGAGGGAGGGCGGCCAACATGGCAGACTGTTCACTCTGCCTCTCTCTTCTTCTCTATGGCTCTGTTTCTATCCCTCTCTGTCTTTCTTCTCACTTTCTTCCTCCCACTCTATCTGCAGCTTCTTCTCTTCTTTGGAGATCTTTTGTATCTTTCATTTGGAAGCTGTTCATATTCGTAATTCTGTGTGTCTTTCTAGAATCTTCAGATTTAGTTTAGTCACTGTAATTGTAATTCACTCAGTTTTTGAAATGTTATTAGGCTAAAGGATTTGCGTCACTGAATGAGGTAATGGTCATTTAAAAGAACTTAAACCTGTCTTTTCAGAATAATTGATAGCGCAATATTATAATACCTGCTGTACCTTTTTTGAGCACTTCAACAAGCTTGGTTAACAAATCCCAAATTCTTTGCACATTTGATCATTATTGTGTTACCTTTGGGCCAGGCTAGCGCTTTCACCATGTTTTCAGTCTTCATGCTAAACTAAGCTAATCTCTTGGCTGTAGCTTCATATTTAGAGGGTTATTGATCTTCTCATATCACTCTCTCTGCAAGAAAGCGAATAAGCTCATAATTCAAAAGGTCAAAAGTATTCTGTCAAATCTGTGTTCCTTTGCCAAGACAGGTTCTTTATCTTTGCATTTATGAGGTTGATAAATATCCATTTCAAATAAATAATCTGATGCAAGGGTGAATTTGTAGAATATCAGGTAAAATGGAGATAATTGTTAGCAGAAGCGAGCCAGAAATGTCAAACAACAAAAGCACGGAATGTACAGTTTGTTACTATTGCAATAATGTTGAGGATGCATGCGTTGAGAGTAGCATGTATGGACGCGTGTGGACCACAGCACGAAGTAGTTACACTGTAAATCTCATCATCCGAAATGGTGCAGGCAGCTTTAGGCCAATCAGTGACAAGACAAAGCCTCCCTCATTACATCCAGATCAGGCTACTGCTGCAGCAGTTATGGCCTTTCGAAGTTTGAAGTTTTGACATTTAATTACAGCATCCCCAACAGGCAACTTAGTGTAATTTCAAAATGCTAGAACAATGCCAAAATCCATTGTTCCAAGTTTCTTTAACAGTAGACGAGTAGCGTCTTAGGCATAGTTTGAAACATGTATGGATGAATTAACAGGCTGAACCAGTTGCTACCCCTTTGCTTCTTGGTTTATACATTTAATCTGAGTCTCGTGAATTGCTATTTCAGGTCAGCAGCACTAGCAGCTTTGTATCTACAAGCTGTAGGGAACAACTTTGCATATCAGATGCTGCAAATGGCAGCGAGAGATAGCTGTGAAAAATCGGAACTTTGGTACCTAGAAATCATGAAATGTTGTGTAAGAATCGCACCAGCTCTGTCAGTTAGCCTTTGTACTGTATAGCCCACAGCTACATTGCTGCAGTATGTGTAGGATGTGAGCTCCATGCATCTGAAACATCAGAACTCATCTTATCTGAAAGAATCTATTTCTTGGTGCCAGTACGACATGTACTCCTTCTCTTTAGATAAGGATTTTCTGCACATTCAGTTCACTCTAAATGTGATTTATGATTACATTAGTGGCATAAGGATCCATTGTTTTTGCAGTTTGACCCATGCTTAGGACTAAAACTTAATCTATCTCAACATCTGTTTCTTCACATTTGATCATTCTTTATTATGTGCACCTCTTGTCCCCTAAATGTTTTGAAGCACAATATTAAATTGCCAGAGTAGCCCTTTAAACTAATTTTGAGTTGCCTTCTGACTTCCCTTTTGAGGTTCACTCTCGCAAGAAAACATAATTAACTTTTAAAATTATTTAGCTCACATGTTTACCAATACATGAGGGGACACCAAATGGAAAAGAGAGTAAACAATTCTTAAAGATCCAACATGGTAAGTCTAAAAAGTTCAGTCTTAAATTGTGATTTGTCATTGTTAAAATGTCTAGTCATGTATTGTATGACATTTTCTCTACTGCAACCCCTTTTTGTGATTTAGACTACTAACACTAAAGCAAGTGATTCAACGTCCTGACACAAATGACACTTAAGCAGCATTGATACTGGATATATAACTACATGAATGCTTCATATTCAATCTTTATATAACCTGCTTAGTCCCTATGTTTGAGATTAAACATTCCCTTTTCAAGTAAGACCTGACCAAGTAGTGATCAATTAAAACACTTGCATGAAGATATTAACGTGATACATCCATCAACATCACGCAGAAATGCATCTTTGGTACAGAATAAAACACAGACAGTTTCTGTTACCTTTAGGCCAGCTCGCTACACTGAGTATCTGTGTGTTTGTGTGTGTGCATCTGTGTCTATTTCCCTGGTAATCCCCATGAAAATACCATGTGGCTACAGAGCAGCCTATCACAAGAGGGAGACAGTTGCCGTGCTTCTGGATCCTGTGAGTAGCTGTCCATTTCAGCACCACGAAGAGGCAGCAGTAACCATGGTGCACTGTGAGGATGAACAGGATGTGACTAATAAAACACACACAAACAAAACAAGATAATTTTCCACATTTGGCAGATAATTAGAAAAAAAGACAAAAAAATTGCCTGTCACACGCAGATTCCGGGGTTTGTACTATATTTCCACCTACATGCACCACTGACATATACTTTTTGGCCAATAAAAGTATACTTTACCTTTAAAATTAATAGATTGTGTTTTGTACTTTGTGATAATATTTGGAACATGTGTCTAAATATAATATGAAGTATGTTTCAGTGGTTCTGACAGTATCAGAATCATTGCCTTCTCTGCAAGGCGAGGGGATATGAAACATATGACAAAGTCAAATATACAGAGCACGGTTCACTGAGCTTTACAACCTAACCCATCTATTTCTGCTGAACCCATCTAAGCCCTTAACCGCTCAAGTGTTTTATACTCACTGCTCAACCTTTTCATCATTTGTGTCTCATATCTCTCCCTCACCAGGAAATTAAAATACACCTCAGTCTTTTGGAAAATAATAACTTCCTGATCATAATAATGTGACACCTTATTGATCCCTGTCAGAAAATTGTCCCTTTCTTTGCCCGTTCTCGTATTGGGAGGTCAAGAGGTCGGACGTCATAAGGTAGTGCCTTGCTCCAGGACACTTCAGCAGGGCAGTAAGCTTGCTGCCAATGGGATTTTAACTGGGTTTGTGAGTTATTTTTTAGCATTAGTCACACCTGCTGCTTAATGAAATGGAGTCAGACTTGCCCAAATTCTTTTTAATTACTACAGTTGGTGCCCCCTGAAAAACATAAAATAAATCATACAATCTAACCCCAGATTCCTTTAGCAATTTAGGGCAAATGCACTGCAAAAATATGTGCCATAACAAGTTATTTGTTTTTGTTAAATGTAATACATTTTAACAGGGCCATTGCTGACATCGAGGTCAAACCTCTATATTTTCGGGGCATACTTTCAGCGGTTTATTAACTGTGGGAGGAAAGTTACATTCCTCAGAATTTATTCCAGTGTTTTTAGACCCTAAAACTTCAAAGTTGATAACAAGCCAACAGAAATATATGAATAAATTATTCTATATATCCACCAGAAGTTTTTTTCTGTATACCATGGGAGATAAAATGCTTAGACTTTCTAACAAGTTTCCTAACAAGTATCCTTGATAGGACTATGTAATTAGTAAATACCGGGAAAAGAGATGGGACAGTTCCTTTTCTTAGTGTTATCTAAATGTATGACCAGACTTGATTTCCAGCAGAGGAATTCCCTTCAAAGAGTTGCTCAATTTAAGAATTTATTGTAGGAAATACAATTGAACAGCTAACTCAATTATTATTGTAATTCTGTTTATTTCTATATTAATACATTTAATCTATTTTTATATATTATATATTGTTCTAATGCTTTTCTTGACAATACAAATAAAGTCGCCTTGCCTTTCCTCCGATAAAGAATGTCAAGAAAAAAATGCTCTACAGAAAATAATTCAACAAACAAGTTGATGGAACACGTGAAATGTTTTCACCAAGAAGCCACATGTGCTTTTTTAAATCTTTTCAGCAGAATCAGCATGAGATGAACAGACTTGTTGAAAAGGACATTTTTTGCAGTGCTGCTGATGCGCACGGAACATCTCCCTCACTCTCTCTCTCTTCCTCGCTCTCTGGTAGTGTCGATTTTTTTCATCCTCTGCTTCTAACCATCATCCACCCCCTCCTCCTCCTCTCCTCTCTCCACTTCTATCTCAGCTCTGCGAAGAAGGCAAACGAGGAAACCAAGGATTGATGTGTTGCTTGAAATTTAATATTTTTTGCGCACGTCCCCAACGACCGCCGGCTTTGCTAAAAAAAAAAAAAAAAATCATTGCTTTTGATGATTTTTATGTGATAACAGTACATAGCTGTGTGTGTACAGTATGTGCGCTCGTTGTGCTCCGGTTGGCCGTGATATAACCGTCTAGGATCGTTTGGATGTTGAAGGAAGAGGCTCTAACGCTCCGGGAAGCTTCGTCCATCCCTCCGTGTCCTCCTCATTCCTGCGACCGGCTGCATGACCGGTGATGCTCGGACTCGTCGCCTGGATGCGCCCCTCTCTTCGCGGTGTGCCGTCGGTACCGCTGCCTGTATCCCCCTATAGCAGATTTCCACTGTCGCCGGAGAAAGGTCTAGGGACCACATATGGAAACTGGGGATCAGAATTTTAGAAAAAAGGAAAACTAAGCAGGCTGTCGTTTGATTTTCATAACTTAATATTTTTCCCTCGTCTTTTTGGCTTGATTTTTTTAATTTAGGGGAAACGGGTTGATCGTCCCTGGTTGGTTTATTTTCCTTCATCTTTTAAGGAATGGCTGGTTTTCATTGCAGTCATGGTACCGGCTGATTATTTGGCATTATTTATCATTCTGTCCTTGATTTGGGGGAGCGTTTGATTCTGCTGGTTTGAATTTGTTCTTTCATTTCTTTCAGCACATCCAGTCCTTGTTTTTTTTCAACATATTTTGGGCATTGCCTGTCTGTCTTGCCTGTCTCCCTATTTCCAAAATACATGTGATAGCCTGATTCTTCAGAAATGCTATGGAGATGAACCTCCATAATTCACTGGTCCACTGGGTTACATCAAGTTAGTCAGATCTAATCCTGAATTGTGTCATCATATGTTGGAGGTCTCTGCTTTTGCCTTTTTTTGGGGCCATTTTAAAGAAATTAGGCCACCAACTGTGTTAGTCTTAACCACCCTCCACCCCCACACCCCAGTGTTTCTTCATCCCTTTTCAGTATGAATTAATTCACACTGCATGTATGTGTGTGCTCGTCCATGTACAGGTGTGTGTGTGAGTGAAAGTTTGGCTCTGTGAGCAAGTGTATGTGTGTGTCTATGTATGACCCGAAAAATTAGTGTAGGCTTTATGTGACGGCCTATGTGGGAAAAAATCAAGAGCTACATGCACATCATTCCATACATCACCGTTGAAGCTGTGAGGATTGTTATACATGTAACTGCTTTAGTCAGCTTAGAGCGCCGAATTCAGGCCTGAGACAACGACAGAGAAACAGAACAAAATCCTCCATCTTCTCATTATCTCGGCCTTTTTCAGAGTTTGACATTTAGAGGCCTTCCAACTCAACAAAGTAGGCCTAGAACCCAGACCAGGTCTCTTGTGGAATCTGCTAGAAGCCTGTGTTTTTAGGTCAACTTTTTTCCAAAGCAGGGCAACTTACTGCCACTTGAGGACTAGAATTTGGAAACCTCTGTAGCTGAGAGTTCTGTCATCCTCGCCAAAGACTGTTTGACTCGTCTTTTGGGCCAAACAGCCACCTATTGTCCCTAAACCTCACCCTAACCCTAACCCCCTCATCTTAATTTTCACCTGTTTGCTGTCCCACCCCAAAACCAACCATACGATTTCCCCCGAGCTCCCCTAATTCCCCCGCCCCCCCAGCGGCCCCCCGCTACCGTCGTCCACCCGACACTGCCCACCCCCCGTTTTCCGAGCTGGCGTGGCGACGCAAACTCACAAATATTTACTTCCTGTACATCAAGAGGAAAGGGGGCCCCCCTTTCGTGGAATGTGGCAACATGGGCGTGTTTGACCGCGGAGTTCAGATGCTGCTGACCACGGTAGGGGCCTTCGCCGCCTTCAGTCTTATGACCATCGCCGTGGGGACAGACTACTGGCTGTACTCACGCGGCGTCTGCAAGATCAAGAGCACCAACGAGAATGAGACCAGCAAGAAGAACGAGGAGGTGATGACGCACTCGGGCCTCTGGAGGACCTGCTGCCTGGAAGGTGAGCTAAGGATGCACTGAAGAAGCCATATATACATGCTTAGATGCACCAACAACACCCTGCACACAGGCAGATCGATTCCAACGTGCCCACACACAGATACACACAGTCCTGCATTGGCACTCACATGCCTACACATATGCTCACATGCCCACACTTCTCTGTATGTACTCTGCATCCATTTCCACACATGAAAACACACACTGTGTCTAACCTACACACACTCCACTCTATCTATCTATCTATCTATCTATCTATCTATCTATCTATCTATCTATCTATCTATGTGCATTTTTTATCTATATGCATATGTACCCCTCTTTGCCTGCAATCTGTGGCATGAGATCCTTATTGTGAGTATTACAGGTCCTTTGCGTTCCTGCACAAAGTGTGTACCCACTCCTTCATTTCATAATGATTTATCTTTCATCTTGACTACTTTCAGTTTCCTAAAGTATAGGAAGGATCTAACTTGTTGAGTGATGAATCCAGCCTCTTTCTAGCAGGTGATTTTGATGAAACTTCCAACAAATGGTATTCGGTTGCTTCCTTGCTCAGGTTGTTTGTGTTTGTTGTTTGGGGTGTTATATTATGTCTGTCATGGCCGGAGTGCAGATTGGCCTTTTAATTGTCCTAGCAGAGAGAAGCTCAACTCACATAGCAAATTGTCACACCGGACCCCTATGGATACACAGGGCCCAGCAAGGTCTAAACTGACTGATTTGGCCACCAGTTCTGCTATAAGCTTCTAATTGATTTCTCGTTCTACACTGAAAGTAAATATGGGAAAGAAATGAGACCTTTACTTGGTTATCTTAATGACAGGCTGATAAGCAAAGATATGTCTCCAGCAGTCTGCATTGAGACTGATGAACAGGCAAACTGCAATCCTTTGAAGTTTTTTTTGTAGATTATCTTGATTTCGTATTCCTTGTCTTCCATGTGTTCCATGTCTATGTGTTTTGTAATCTCAGTGATCATTCCTGTTCTCCATACTAGCCTTGAAATATTAGCTAATCTGTGCCGTGTACTGCTGCAGTCTACTGTAGGAAATAAAGACCACAATCCACTATTATTATGCCACATAAAAATGTCTTACATCTTAACTGCTGTGTCTGTAGCAGAGGGATACTTACTGGTGTCTTATACATGCATTGTTCTGGGCATGTTTTTTTTTGAACCATCATAAGTTTGACTGAACATTGAAATGCATTTTTGCATTAAACAAGAAATATAAATTTTGTCCCCCATTTCTTATGGAGGACACACATTGAGAAATAGACTCACATAGGCCCAGTATAAAGTAGGTATGCACTGATCTGACCTTTTCAGTCACAAAACCAATACCATTACCTGGGCTTTTCCTATTGGTTGATGCCGAATACTGATCTGATACCAGTGTGAAATTAATAAGCAGTGCTCGTCACTATGAGTAAGAGCCTGGGAATCGTGTTTTTTGGCATGATGCTGGAGGTGCTTGATTAAGTTGGTTGTGTTATATTTTGCAGTGGTATCGTACCCCTCGACACATTGATTTTGCAGATATTGCATGTAGAACTTGTTGGCGTAGCAAGCGTGAATTACCTCCAAACTGCTGACTCGTTGTTATTAAGCTCCCTCCATGCTATGTTAGCTCTCCCAGCAAAATGTTCAGGTTCACTGGCGCACTGCTGACACATCGCGTAGTATGTGTGTAATTGAAATAAATAGATCGCGACTTTTCACCGATACAAGATACAGCTATTTGAGTAAGAATTGGGCCGATATCCGATATCAGTATTGGATCGGTACATCCCTAGTATACAGAGGAAGAAGGATTACAGAGAACCCTAGCCAACGTTGAAGTTGGGGTTTGTCTGCATCACATGCAGTCATGTCTGAGGCGTTGGTCAGACCCAATATCTGGCGTTTACAGGTAAAACTTTTCATCTTTGTCCTTGGACTCCCTTTTTGTACTAAAAATTGCAAACCTGTTTCAACTTTTTGACTTAAAAATTTGGACAGTTGCATCACTGATTTAGAAATGGTGATTGGAAAGAGACAAGAAACAGCTTTACAGGTTTGGGAGTTGAAAAATCTGGTTTAAATGTGGTATAAACTGATTTTGCACAACAAAAATGATCTGTTAAGACATCATTGAAACTTATGGACAAAGTAAGTGTTGGGAGTGTGTATTAGAAAGACAGACAAATGAGAGAGTATTTTAAAGAAAAAGCAAAGTCTTAACATGTAGTGTGCAGTGCAATAGTATGTATTGTACTGAGTGTATTTACAATATTATAGACGAAAACCTGCAAAATACTTCTCTATATGTGGAAAAATATTTGAAACTTTCAGGCAGGTTTTAAACTTGTGTGATCTGTCTTAGTCCTAATCCTAACAATTGGCACTAATTTTAGCCATAACATCATACCTAGGTCATAAGTCTCAAGTAAGAAGACAGGACTAAAGTTAAAGTTTGCTGTTCCTCATAAGGATAGCAGTACAAGTGTACAGGTCAGGATACCACCCCACCCCACACACACACACCACCCCACCCCACACACACACACACATATGTATATAATGCCTGAGTGATCCATCTTCATCCCGAATCACAAAAAACCCGTCCCAGATTCACCTGATTCACAGGATAAAGCCATATTTCTCCCATGATTCATTTGGTCCTCCTTCAGTGATTGCAGCAAGAATAGCAGCTGTCTTGTCATTAAATATCTGGGTTTATGAGACAAGGAAAGACAGACAGACAAACAGAAAAAGAAATATGATCTCACTTTGACCCCTTACACCATATTCCAAAACGCTTAACACAGATTGTGTTAACATTTTTATGTATGTACTATTCACTAATGTTGTGTTCATGGTATATAGTTGCCATTTGAGGATTTGTAAATACATCAAATTTAATATCTAAATTGAAATATGACGTGGAATGTGTGTGTGTGTGTGTGCACTCATGCATATCCAGTTATGGTGCTGACGCTGTGATGTCACTCTCTTTAATTGTGTCCTCACATCGTCACATTGGTTGAGCCACTCAGCCTGATCCTGTCAACCACCTGGTTATCCATTGTCACAAGGCCTCAATGTAACATTAAGAAGATGAACTGTAAGGAGATCCTTAGTTCAAAAGTAATCATTTAACATCAGTGGCATGTATAGCAGAAGTCCCTCTATATGTAGTTTCAGGTAGTTTTTTAACCTTAATGCAAAAGCAGAGAAGTGCAATGGAACATTAAACTCTTTACAACAAAACTAACTATCTAACTATATTTCCAGATCTGACATTATGAGAAAATATGCTGAAAAATTGGAGTTCAAGTTAAGCACATGACATTTAAATTTTGTATCTAATTAGCTAATGAACTAGTTAGAGCTAGTGTCAATTTAATGTCGGGTCACTCATTTTAAATTGAAAATTAACCGCTTTGTTCAGTACAAAAGTACAGCTCAAAAAGCTTTGCAGGCTGAGGTTAAACTCATACTCATACACTATACAATTATGGTTATACACACTCACCTATTCTCCAGCTTTACAACCTTTCTATTTTGCACCTCAGTTTCACATTAGACCTAACTAACCTTTAGCTAATGCTTTGTTTATGCTGCTGCAGTAGTTAACGTTTGTCATATGAGCCTACCACAGTTAAACATTCCAGTCCAACAAAATATGCCATACTTGCTAACTTTACCACACACATTTTCCTAGCTAATAATATTGTTTGCATTTGATCTGTTTGGGTTAGAAGTCACACAGACACAACACACTTGGCTTGGATATCATCTTATTGTACTAGGATTACTTCTCCTACTTGCCTTAAACAGCATGGCCCGGTTCTGTGCTATGCAGGTTACTGCTATAGTAAAGCCAGGACAGGAAGGGAAGACATTATACCTGGTTACATTTGTTTCCGTCAGTTTTACATTTTATTGATGCTTGTCAACCTTTGTTGATGCCTTGCCCCTGGCCACATCTCTGACCTATTGATTCTTTATAGAGAGAAAAAGTCAAGCCTTAGGTTCTTTGGGCTGAGACAGCGATGTCTAGTTATTCCTTTGTCTAAGTCGGTCTCTAAGAAAAAGAACATGTTCTCCATGCTTTTGCTGTTATGACCCCAGCCTGTGGCTAACCCTGGAGCCCGCCTAAAACAATGCTTAGAACTACACAAAGTTAGAGAAGGATAGGGTTTATCAAGCTCCACATCTGTGAGTGTCTCAGAATCAGACCTGGACTAACACAAGCCCCTAACTTGTTGTTGATGCTAGCCCATTGAGGCAAAAAAGTGTCCACTTATCTGTTAAAGTTTTGACAATTCTTGATAAGAAAACAAAGCTCAAACCAATTGGAAAGGAGACTACTGGCATCGGCAGTGTGATGCTAATGCTAGCTGTATAACCTGTGCAAAAAGGCTAGAGTGAAAAGGGAGACAATTACTGGATTTTGGGCTCCTTTATCAGGTCACTTACATCACCCAGAATGAAATAGAACTAATGAACATCATTTCTTATGAGAAAGAAAATCTTTTGATCTTTTGTTTTACTCATGAAAAAATGAGTTGTACTGTTGCTCTGCACTTTTAATGTTCATGATGCAGGATGAAAGAACATGCACTTTTCTCAGTGATTAGCCGGTTTTATTTGAAATTACCTCAAAAGAAAACAGTGTGCAACTTGTTTCACATTGCTGCTTTTTAAAGCTCTGTTGAAAATTTCTAATTCCGTGCAGGTATGATAAAAGCTACCTATGATCAACCATGTGACCACATTATCTAATCATATTAACAAGGTCATGGGAATAAATTATTGCTGTAAGTTTGGAACTACTTAGATGCTGGTTTGTTGTGAGTTTAAGGACAAAATGTGTTTATTTCTTAAGACAGAGAACATAAAATCTTGGCAGAGGTTGCAAAATTGTGTCAAATCACCCAACACATTTGTCGATGTGAATGCAGCCACGCCAACTCACTCCATGTGATATGCTTATTTTCCCCGCTAAGTGG